TTTACTGAAAATTACAGTAGTTTTATAGAGAAAAGTAATATTAAATAAACGTTTAATAATAATCCCAAATTCATATATTTCTTCTTTTATAATAAAAAAAATAGTAATTTTTATATAGAAAATTAATAATTTATTATAATCTATTATAAACTTTTATAACAATCCCAATTTCATATGAATTTACTAAAAAATACATTAATTTTATATAGTTTTTTAATAATCAATTTCATATATTTTGTACTTTTTTTTATTAAAAGTTTTGTAAAGATATGTAGTAATTTGAGCACAATAACCATTGCATTGTTAAAATACATCAGTTATTTTCAAATTTATATATAATTTTATATAATATTTGAATCAAGAATATTTATATGAAAATATGAAGAAAAAACTGTTATTATTTAATTTAAAATTAATTGCTACAATATTTTAAACTATTTTTGTATATTGTTAAATTTGTTAATGTAAAGAGTTAACAATTGTTTTGGTAGTTAAAAACGCGATAATCATGAGTTATTATACATTTTTGATGATGATGAAACAGTTAAAAATCATTCCAGCCAGAAATATTTCCTGCATAAACATTTGTACGTTTAATGTGTACAGTTATATGAATAATAAATACACAAATATGAAACATTGTCCATTATCAAACATACTGCGATGATTGATTTAAACAACAATCAATATAATTGTATGCTCTTCAAATTTCAATTGGATTTAGCTACAACACATATGAAGTGAATATTATTACGTAATGAGTTTTTCTAATGTAGAATTCAAAAGCGTTTATATGTTAATAAATATGTATTAAAATATGTATAAAAAAAAGTACATTGTTTCAATGCAAAAGACATTCTGCGCTAATTAAATGAGTACAAAGAAACGTTTGTCGTTTAATATTCTCGTTGTGCAGTTCGATTCTTCCTCTGGGCTTTCGATGCCCATCGAACAGGAAGCTCGGAAAGGAAGTTGCGGTCATAAATTCCTTAATATTTTCGATTTTGATTTATTTTTCTTTGCATATGCAAATGTCCGCTCTGAAATGGAAATAGCACAAAAGAAACAAGAAATAAAACATAAATAATACAGGTCCGTCAAGATCATCGAGGTGTGCAGCGTAAAACTAGTATATTTCATCGCCAAATTTGGTGCTAAACTAGTTTCGACTACGAGAAAAAGCGAGATGAGTGACAATAAAACAAGAATTATAAATATAAAATTAAAAAAAAAAAAAAACAAAACAACAAACCATGCTGATGTGGTGATTACGATTAAGTACAGGCAAGCAAACTAAGTGTTTAGGGAAAATGTTCGTTTACCTAAAACCAAAAGAAATATCCAAAAGAAAAATCCAAAATCAGTTTTCCCCATCGTCCGGGAACGTCGGTCACGTTTTTACTTTCAAAATTGAGTATATATTTTGTTAATACTGTTTATTTATTTATTTTTTTGATGCTTGAGTATAGAAGACTTGTGTCTTATAATCAAGGAGAAGGGTTCGATCAAAAGAATACACGGAACCAATCACTTCCGTCCATTCTTTCGGCAACAACAGTCAAAACACTTCGGCGGTTCACATAATTTTTACCCCTTAAAAGATAATTTTTATTTATTTTTTTTTTAATTTAGTTTCTTTGTTAATTCGTTTAATTTATAGTTTAGATTGATGAGAGAGAGTCTTTTCGTCTGCGAGTGAGATGGAGATGAGTTTTCGTAATTATATTACATGGACATCGTCGTCGTAACTTCTGTAGCAGAAACTGCAGGCATGTGGATGCACGCGCGCGACCGAGATTGTCTGACCGAAGTCGACAGAGTATTGACCGGGGAAGACCGTCTTGCGCCGAGCACGCCGTGTGTCCTGCCTCCCCCGCACAACCCCCCTGCTCCGTAGCTCTGTCGCGCACCCATCGATCTACCCTTCTTCGTCGCACCAATGGTGTTGGCCCATAGGTGGATGCATGCGTCGTGCAAAGACGCCAGCCGACTCTCTGCGTACGCACTTACATCTATCCATCCATCCTGGCCTACGTAACACTCTTCTGGTACACTTCTACTCCTCCGACTGCTCCTCCTCTTCTTCTTCTTCTTCTTCTTCATCCTCCCACCCTTTAATGAAAAAAACTTGCCTTACTCATAGTCAGATTGACTACAGTGCCCATGAAGACATAACAACAATACATTCAATAGTCGATGGTCAAAGCTATAACTTCCAGATACCAACAGTCATCATGTACTAAATTATATAATCACAAACTTTATAATATCATAGTAATCATTACTAATTATAATCAATAGGCATTGATAGATCTAGTTGGAGAGCCCATATTTAGATTGATTCCATTATACTTGAAGAACTAGCTGCAATAACCAATAATCAAAGCTTCAACTTATAGATTACAATTATAACAGTTTTTATCAATTAGATCTATTGCACAAACTTTATAATTTCATAGTAATCATTACTATTTAGGATCATTAGGCATTGATAGATCTAGTTGGAGAACCCATATTTAGATTGATTCCATTATTCATGAAGAGATAGCTGCAATATCCAATAATGAAAGCTTCAACTTATAGATTACAATTATAACAGTTTTTATCAATTAGATCTATTGCCTTGATACTCAAAATTATATAAATTCTAGTGCACTTGAAAAGCTAACAACAATACATTAAATATTCATTGATCAAAGTTACAATTCCAGTTTCTACAAACAGACCACATTAGTAACAATTTTCACGTATTACATAACATACGAGTAGTTTCGTAGTGTACATAAAACCATAGCAACAATATATTTTATTCATCAACTTCCAACATCTATAAATAAATCACATAAGTCATCATGTACTAAATATATAATCACAAACTTTATAATATCATAGTAATCATTACTACTTATAATCAATAGGCATTGATAGATCTAGTTGGAGAACCCATATAATCATAGCTTCAACTTATAGATTACAATTTGAATACAACTAAAACAGACTTTTATCAATTAGATCTATTGCTTTGATACTCAAAATTATATAAATTCTAGTGCACATGAAAAGGTAACAACAATACATTAAATATTCATTGATCAAAGTTACAATTCCTGTTTCTACAAACAGACCACATTAGTAACAATTTTCATGTATTACATAACATACGAGTAGTTCTTGTTATTATTAAAGATCAATATGTTTGTCTAGTTGTTTGAGAATTAACTGTAGTTCACATAAAACCATACCAACAATATATTTAATTCATCAACCTCCAACATCTATAAATAAATCACATAATTCATCATGAACTAAATTTACTATACTCATAATTAAAACGAAGATTTTAAGATTCATCTTGCACAAAATATTAAATAATAATCATTAAGATTTAAGTCAAGATTATTCATAATGCACTAATTCTTTAAACATGTACAAAACCATAGTTATGTCTTTTCTTTTTCCTAGACTTAATGAAAAATTAGTTGTAAACATATTTAAATTGATAACAATTCATTTGAAGATTTAGTAACAATACATTCAATAATCAAAGCTTCAACATCCATTCAATTCTTTTAATCTACACTTTATGTAATACTCAATGATCATTACTTCAATATCTAGTTTAATCATCATGTAATAATTCTTGAAAAATAACTGTAACAAATTTTCTACCAAACAAAACTTTTGTTATCATTATCATTTAGGATCAATATGTAAAGTCATAGAATCGTTTCACTTGTTAAGTGTTGTCAAGAAGATTTAGTTCCTTCTTTCCTATTAGATCTTTTTTTTGGTACTGGAAAAACCCACCAGAAACAAAGAATTATGAATTGTTAAATAACTCAATAACGCAACAAAAATTGTGTTACATTTTTTCACAAAACGCAATAGCTTCAAAGAATTTTTTATTATTAATTCATACTAGAACGAAATATTCAAATTAAATTTTAACTTTACAATTTTAATTTATCAAATAAGCAATTTCCTTGTAATGTGGAAAAAGGCATTAATTGGAATAAAAGTAAACTATTTCATTTACATTTGTACAACAATACCTCACATAGTGCGGATTCCGACAATATCATGGACTGTTTGAAACCGGACTAAACCGGACTTTCAACATCTATAAATAAATTCCATAAGTCATCATGAACTAAATTCACTATACTCATAATTAAAATGAAGATGTCAAAAGTCATCTTGCACTAAATATTAAATAATAATCATTAAGATTCAAAACTATAATTAGAATTATTAACACGGATTTTAGTGAAGATTATTCATAATGCACTAATTCTTAAAAAAAAACTATAGTTATATCTTTTCTTTTTCCTAGACTTAATGGAAAATTAGTTGTATACATATTTAAATTGATAACAATTCTTTTGAAGATTTAGTAAAATTATATTCAATTATTTTAATCTACAATTTATGAAAACGATACATGTAATACTCAATGATCATTACTTCAACATCTAGTTTAATCATTATGTAATAATTCTTGAAAAATAACTGTAACAAATTTTCTACCAAACAAAACTTTTGTTATCATTATCATTTAGGATCAATATGTAAAGTCATATGTAGATCTAGTGGTTAGAATCGTTTCTCTCGTTAAGTGTTGTCAAGAAGATTTATGGTTAACACATTTCTGAGGCACTCAAGAGTATCTTGATATCTGCTACACTTTTTTTTTGTAGATGACGATAGCTTTTTAGAGATTTCCGTATCCTCATATAAATAATACCATTAAGTATGGATTCATGACTATTAACTTTTATTTATCTTCTACCCAGTAAAAATAAAACAAAACTTGTAATTTCTGGTAATTTAATTATATATTTTTTAAGTATATTTTTCAGTAATTTGCAAATAACATTAAAATCTTTGCTATTTAATAATTGCAATAGAAATAATAACATTTTACATTTATTGTTTAATACTTTTATTTAGTTTTTCAAAAATTTATTTACATTATTACGTAGGTATTAAATAAGGCAGTATTTATTGGAACGTAAATATTGGTGCATTGTATCAGCTTCTTATTTTACGTGATTTAAAACAGATTTTCGAACTGAAAATAATTAGATTTATAAGTTAATCAGAGCGGAAAGACTGCAGTCTTCGTATATATTTATAAAATAATTAGTTAATGAGCGTTATGATCATGTTTTATAAGATCAGCTCCTTTTTCGGCAACCATTATCGTTGGAAAGTTCGTATGTCCACTGATTATGGTTGGAAAGATTGAAGCATCGATCACCCGAAGTTTATGAATTCCATGCACCTTTAACCTATCATCAACCACCGAAGTCTCATCGTATTTCGGACCCATTTTACACGTTCCCGAGTAATGGTAAACGGTCAAAGTTAAAGTACGACACATGCATCTCACGTAATCATCGGACATGAATTTGTAAGGGCATTCATCCAAAGGAATGGAATTGAGTTTGGCTCCAATCTTCTTGAAGGCCGGCTGCTGCGTTATGTTCTGCATCAACTTTAAAGTCTCCATCAAAGTATCCAAATCATCAGGATCATCAAAGTAGTTGGCGTAGATCAACGGGTGATCCCTGTAATCGCCGCTCGCCAGTTTCAAGTAGCCTTCGCTCTTTGGATTCAGAAGTATGGGCATGATCATGAAACTGTATTCATCCTTTATTGGTTTATAGATTTTCTCGTAAACGCTTTCTTTTATATTGAAATCTTTGTATAATAAATTACTGCTGGCCGTTGAACTTGTCAAGTAAGCTAACTCAATGTTGGGAACAGCTTGGGGATTGAACGGATCATCTAGGTTGTGGAAACTCAAGGCTTCAACGCCTCCCGGGATGGATAAGATGTTAGCACCACCGTTTTCCAAGTAAGCTTGAAGATCTATCTGAGCATTCAATGGGATCGTTATGGGTTGATCGATGGTGTACACTATGGGCAAGCTAACGTGATCTAAGAGATTTCGACCAACAGGTAAATCGGCAACAACTTTGATCTTATGTTTCTTTAATTCCTTTTTGGGTCCTATTCCTGAAAGCATCAGCAGCTGCGGCGAGTTGATCGCTCCCGCTGAAACAATAACCTCTTTCCTTGCCTTAACCACAGTAGATCTTCCCCGACTGACGAACTCGACACCATAAGCCGTTTTCTTGGAATCGATCAAAATCTTCTTAACAGTCGCCAACTTTTTGATATGCAAGTTAATCCTGTTAAAAGGTTTGATGTAAGCGCTATTCGCGCTCTCTCTAAAACCATCTTTCAGATTAGTCTGAATTCGGCTGACTCCAATCTGAGAAGCACCATTGTAGTCCACGTAATTCAAACCAAACTCTTTGTTGGCTTCAACGACTACATCAGCGAAAGGTGTCTTATAAGGGGCATAGCCCACATTCATGTAACCATTCGTACTATGATAATTAGAGTTTTGCAGATTCGGTATGGTCATGTTCTCGATTTTCTTGAAATACGGTAAAACCTCATCAAAAGACCAACCTTCGTTACCAAACTCTGCCCAATCGTTGTAATCTTCCCGATTTCCTCTAGTGTAAATCATATAGTTCAAAGTGCTCGATCCACCCATGACCTTTCCTCTGGGCCATTTGCATTTACCACCGTTCATTCCGCGACAATAATTATGATCCTTCTCCGATGTGTAATTCCAATTGATGCTGCTGAATTGCAAATACCCAACGTTTAAAGGAACATCCATCATCCTATCCTCATCAGTACCTAAAAATTAATATAAAACTATAAAAAGAAAACGTTTAAATTTTTAATAATTTACCAGCTTCGATGAGAAGAATTTTCCAATTGGGATTTTCCGATAAACGATTTGCGATCACGCAACCTGCGCTCCCGGCCCCAACGATGATGAAGTCATACTCCGATTGAAGTTTAGGTTCTTCAGGCGGATTTTCCAGTTGCCTCTCCAAAGTGTCGATCAACTCGACAACATCCGCAGGCAAATCAACAACAACGCAGTTAAATCCATTTAGAATTAACAATACAAATCCCAAATAAATCCACATAATCTATAGGAAATTTCCAAAAATTGCAATAAATACAAGTTTCAAACGGAACGGGTTTATACTTACAAGTTAAAAGACCAGCGACATATGTATGTGTAACTCTACCAGAAAAGAATATTTATATAATTGGGAAGAGAATAAGAAATTAACAAAAGCAAACGGAGATGTTGAAATACGAGCGACGAATGTACATAAGTCTATCAAAAAGTGCATATTTATACAGATAGGAAAATAAAAACAAAATAATAAATGAAAACATTCAAGTAATCAGGGCCGGATCCAGTGAGTGCGAGCCCCGATATATTTTTTTTTGCGTTACCCCTAAAATTAGAATTTACATATTTTAAATGTTTATTATATACAAAATCTAATTAAAAAAATCAAAACTCATAAACAATCAACATAAAAACAATTTATATAACTGAAATGCGTGCATCGCAATCGCTAGAATTGGCTCAAATCCGGCACTGCAAGTAATTGGTATCTAAATAATAATGCAATCGCAATATGTAAACGATTTTAAAATATTCATAACTCAACACAAAAAATAACCTGGATAAAATGACCTTCACAATTGAGAGACATACTTATTGTAAATTCTGTGGAGATAAACGAAACTGTTGCGAAATCCAACCAGTCTATACAACAAAATTAATGCAAATTTGAGTCTGTCTGGTAATTAATATTTGCTATTAAATTATTTATAAACTATTAATGAATTATTTTGCAAAAATCTAATTAAGTCGTTAAATGCATTTCGTAACTCAACTGAGGATATTTATAAGTATTGTTAATAATAAATTATCATTTGAAAAGAATTCCAGTGGAAAATTGAGTGCACTAAATAAGTATGCATATTTCTTGTGTAATTTTATAGGTCAATGAAGTAAAAGTGGATTCTAGAAACATAAAGTAAATTTATCTAAAGTAATCTAAATAAACGAAATTGAACACTTTGCTGATAGGGCGTATATATCCGCCGTCCAATAACTGTTATTTTGGTTCAGTTCCTCAAACTAAATATTTCATCTTTAATAAAATTATTATCTTCAGTCATATTTCTTGTATAATTTTATAGGAGTAAAAGGAGATTCTAGCGACATAAACTAAATTTACCTAAAGTAAACGAAATTGAATACTTTGCTGATAGGGCGTATATATCCGCCGTCGATTAACTGTTATTTTGCTTCAGTTCCTTAAACTAAATCTTTCATCTTTAATGTTAAATCTTTCATCTCTAATGTTATTAAAATTGCATAATTTTGACATAAAAATAAAAAAGTGCTTAACTTTTTTTCAAAATTTTCTTTATAAGAATACTTTTGATAACACCATGTCTTTTTAAAAATACGCTATCTGCATGTAACTAATTATTTTACTTTAACAAATTTCATGTTTCTAATCATATTTCTTACCTAATATCATTAAAATTACAGCATTTCGGTTTAAAAAGAAAATGTTGTTAGTTTTCGATATAAGAATATTTTGGATCAGATTTACTAAAATACGTGTATTTGCGTTTTGTGTTTAAGGTGATTGCGTGACTGCTCCTTTCATAATAAAGTTATAAACTTAATGAATTAAATATTTGCACAATGAATGTGAAATATGTGGGACTAAATTGAGATTAAATTAATTATTGGATTGTCTGACCTTAGAAATAAAAAAAAATATATGAATAAAAGTAAATGGTTGCTGAAATACAAAATATATCCATCACTAAATAAGTAAGCATATTTCTTGTGTAATTTTATAGGTAAATGAAGTAAAAGGGGATTCCAGAAACATAAACTAAATTAACCTAAAGTAATCTAAATAAACGAAATTTAACCCTATGCTGATAGGGCGTATATATCCGCCGTCGATTAACTGTTATTTTCGTTTAGTTCCTTAAACTAAATATTTCATCTATAATTAAAAAATTATTATCTTTAGTCATATTTCTTGTCTAATGTTATTAAAATTGCATAATTTTGACATAAAAATTAAAAAAATCTTTATAAGAAACTTTTGACACCATGTCTTTTTACAAAATTCTCTACTGCATATAACTAAATCTTTTACTTTAACAAATTTCACATTTCTAATCTTATTTCTTACCTAATATTATTAAAATTACAGCATTTCGGTTTAAAAGTAAAATGTTGTTAATTTTCGAATATTTTGGATCAGATTTACCAAAATACGTTTATCTGCGTTTTGCGTTTAAGGTGATTGCGTGACTCCTTTCATAATAAAGTTATAAACTTAATGAATTAAATATTTGCACAGTGAATGTGAAATATGTGGGACTAAATGAAGATTAAATGAATTATTGGATTGTATGACCTTAAAAATAAAAAAGAAATTTATATGAATAAAAGTAAATGGTTGCTGAAATACAAAATAAATCCCTCACTAATTAAGTAAGCATATTTCTTGTGTAATTTTATAGGTAAATGAAGTAAAAGGGGATTCTAGAAAAATAAACTAAATTTACCTAAAGTAATCTAAATAAACTAAATTTAACCCTATGCTGATAGGGCGTATATATCCGCCGTCGATTAACTGTTATTTTCGTTCAGTTCCTTAAACTAAATCTTTCATCTTTAATAAAATTATCGTCTTTAGTCATATTTCTTGTCTAAAGTTATTAAAATGCATAATTTTGACATAAAAATAAAAAAAAATCTTTAAAAGAAACTTTTGACACCATGTCTTTTTACAAAATACTCTATCTGCATATAACTAAATCTTTTACTTTAACAAATTTCACATTTCTAATATTATTTCTTAGCTAAAATTATTAAAATTACAGCATTTCGGTTTAAAAGGAAAATTTGTTAATTTTCGAATATTTTTGATCAGATTTACCAAAATACGTTTATTTGTGTTTTGTGTTTAAGGTGATTGCGTGAATGCTCCTTTCATAATAAAGTTATAAACTTAATGAATTAAATATTTGCACAGTGAATGTGAAATATGTGGGACTAAATGGAGATTAAATGAATTATTGGATTGTCTGACCTTAAAAATAAATAAAAAAATATATGAATAAAAGTAAATGGTTGCTGAAATACAAAATAAATCCCTCAGTGTTTGTACGTTTTAGTTTCACCTCTTTTTTTCTCTCTCAACGAGGGTGAATGCATGACCTGCATTCACCCGCGCATGCATACATATATTAAGTGTAATTTATATGAACTAATTAGTTTCATTTCAACGATAATTAATGTATGGACGTCGTCCAAAAGAATAATAATAGTAACAATAATAATAATGGTGGTGGTAATAACAACAGCAGCAACGTTGGCGTGTAATAATCTGGAAGGGTTCATTTGCCTTCAAATCCACCCTTGTTTCAGATATGAAGCAATACAGAGAATGACACGCTATATGCAAATTAACGTATTTTTGTTTTGTTCTATATACACATACATAACGGCAATCTCTTTCTAAATGTATTTCACTCGTTGTGTTCGTTGTACTCTGCATTTCGAGTTTGCGACCGTCTTTTTTATACATCGACACTGACGCCGACAACATTCCAACACCACCTCCACCCCAAACGAAATTACACGTCTAGTAACTTTGTCCTGTAAAATATACAAGCTACATAGTTAAAAAATAGCTAGTGCAAATAAATTCCCACTTTACGAATTCTTACTTGCAAATTTAATGAATATACAATGAAATTAATTTATAAAGAAAAGTTTAATTTCTCATTTTTTTGTTTATAATTTGAGGTTTCATTTAAAACCATTATAAATCTCAACTTGTGTTTTCCACAATAATTTCAGATCTTTTCAAAATCGAAATATATAACTAAAGATGACAGTTTCTAGTTTATAATTTTTGTTGAATTATGTCATTTTCTTGCCTGGTTATTCTGTAATTAAGTAAAACGTGACACTTTTCATAATTTATATCTTTCATACGTAGAGTATGAAAGCATGACTGTACGAAGATGACAATATTCTCATTAGAAAAGATATTTTTTTGTCTTTAATTTGCATATATCAACGTATAATTGTCTTCCGCCAATGGTGAGTAATTTAAGAAAATGTGAAGATGCTCCATAAATTTTCAGAACTTTTCAGAATAGAAATATTGATACTAGATTTGAATAGACTCTTATTTACAATTTATATTGAATTGTGTGGTTTTACTGAAATTTAATAAATCATTTGATAATACACTTTCATACGTAGTGTAAGATTGGATGACAGCACAAAGATGCCAACAGTCTCATTGGAAAGGTGAGATTTTTGTCTTTAATTTGCATATATCAACGTATAATTGTCTTGAGCGAATGGTGAGTAATTCTTTAAAATCAGAACTTTTCAGAATAGAAATTAAATAAAACATTTCATAATACATTTTCAATTTTGACATGTTTCACAGCTTAAATCATTTCATACGTAGTGTAAGATTAGATGACAGCACGAAGACGTCAGCAGTCTCATTGGAAAGGTGAGATTTTTGTCTTTAATTTGCATCTATCAACGTATAATTGTCTTCAGCGAATGGTGAGTAATTCAAGAAAATGTGAAGATGTTTCACAAATTTTCAGAACTTTTCAGAATAGAAATATTGATACTAGATTTAAATAGACTCTCTGTTTACAATTTATATTGAATTGTGTGGTTTTACTGAAATTTAATGAAACATTTCATAATACACTTTCATGACTATGTTGAAGCTTGGATGACAGCACGAAGATGCCAACAGTCTCATTGGAAAGGTGAGATTGTTGTCCTTAAATTTGCATATATCAACGTATAATTGTCTTCAGCGAATGTTGAGTAATTCAAAAAAATGTGAAGATATTCCACACATTTTCAGAACTTTTCAGAATAGAAATATAGATACTAGATTGAAATGTGACAGACTCCTGTTTACAATTTATATTGAATTGCGTGGTTTTACTGAAATGAAATAAAACATTTCAAAATACATTTTCAATTTTGACATGTTTGACATGTTTGACAGCTTAAATAATTTCATACGTTGTGTAAGATTGGATGACAGCACGAAGATACCAACAGTCTCATTGGAAAGGTGAGATTTTAATCTTTAATTTACATATATCAACGTATAATTGTCTTGAGCAAATGGTGAGTAATTCAAGAAAATG